AAAATTAGCCGGGTGTGGTGGCGCGTGCCTGTAGTCCCAGCTGCTCAGGAGGATGAGGCATGAGAATCACTTGAACTGAGGAAGTGGAGGTTGCAGTGAGCTGAGATCGCAACACTGCCCTCCAGCCTGGGCGAAAGTGTGAGACTGTCTCAAAAACAACAAAACAAAACAAAACAAAAATCTGTTGCTATGTGAAAATTACCCTAAAACTCAGTGGCTCAAATCGACATTTATTGTATTCACAGTTTCTGAGGGCCAGATATGTGGGAATGGCTTCATTGGGCAGCTCTGGGTCCCTCAGTGAAGCTGTTGGACAGGGCTGCAGTCATCTGGAGTCTTTTATGACCTAGTCTTCCAAAGTCACACACCTTTTATTGCACGCATCAGAAATGAGTCACTAGATCTAGCCTACACTGAAAAGGAAAGACGTTAGGATCCTCTGCTCTTGGGCCGGGTGTGGTGGCTCACGCCTGTAATCCCAGCACTTTGGGAGGCCGAGGCAACCAGATCACTTGAGGTCAGGAGTTCAAGAGCAGCCTGGCCAACATGGTGAAACCTCGTCTCTATTAAAAATACAAAAATTAACCAGGTGTGGAGGCGTGCGCCTGTAATCCCAGCTACTCAGGAAGCTGAGGCAGGAGAATCGCTTGAACCTGGGAGGGAGAGGTTGCAGTGAGCTGAGATCGAGCCACTGCACTCCAGCCTGGGCGACAGAACGAGACCCTGTCTCAAAAAAAAAAAAATTCCTCTGCTCCTGAAAGGAAAAGTATCAGAGAATTTGGGGACTAATTTTCAAACCACCACAGGTGGGGAGAGGAAGAGAGACACAGAGTTGTGGAGAGAAATAGACCCTTAAAGACTTAGGAGGGGCCGGGTGCAGCAGCTTATATCTGTAATTCCAGTGCTTTGGGAAGCTGAGGCAGGAGGATCACTTGAGCCCAGGAGTTTGAGACCAGCCTGGACAACACAATGAGACCCCATCTCTGCAAAAAATAAATAAATAAATGAATAAATAAATAAATAAATAATTTTTTTTTTTTGAGACAGAGTCTCGCACCATTACCCAGACTGGAGTGCGGTGGTGTGATCTCAGCTCACTGCAACCTCTGCCTCCCAGGTTCAAGCGATTCTCCTGCCTCAGCCTCCCGAGTAGCTAGGATTACAGGAGCCCGCCACCAAGCCTGGCTAATTTTTTGTATTTTTAGTAGAGACAGGGTTTCACTATGTTGGCCAGTCTGGTCTCAAACTCCTGACCTCATGGTCCTTCCACCTTGGTCTCCCAAAATGCTGGGATTACAGGTGTGAGCCACCGTGCCCAGCCTCTGCAAAAAATTTTAAAAACCTAGTCAGGCATGGCAATGCACACTTGTAGTCCCAGCTACTTGGGAGGCTGAGGTGAAAGGATGACTTGAGCTCAGGAGGTCGAGGCTGCAGTGAGCCAAGATCACGGCATTGTACTCTAGCCTGGGCAACAGAGCAAGACACTATCTCCAAAAAAAAAAAAAAAGTTAAGGATCTTGAGATGCAATCATCCTGCATTATCTGGGTAGACCCTAAATCCAATGACAAGTATCCTTATAAGATTAAAAAAAAAAAAAGCCATAGTGAGATTGGGAGAAGGCCATGTGAAGACGGAGGCAGAGGCTGGAATGAGGCAGCTACAAGCCAAGGAATGCCAGGAGCCACCAGGAGCTGGAAGAGGCATGAAACATTCGCCCCTGGAGTCTGTGGAGGGAGTATGGCTTTGCCAACACCTTCATTTTGAACTTCTGACCTCTAGAGCTGTGAGACAATGAATTTCTGTTGTGATAAGCCACCATGTTTGTGGTAATTTTTAGTGACAGCCAACCTGTCACTAAAATAAGACCTGGAATCTGGCTGGGTATGGCGGCTCACACCTGCAATCCCAGCACTTTGGGAGGCCGAGGCAGGCGGACTGCTTGGGCTCAGGAGTTTGAGACCAAGCCTGGGCAACACGGCGAAACTCCATCTCTATTTTTATTTAGTAATATTTATAAAGAAAGAGAGAGATATGGAACCCGACACAGGCAGAGGCAATGAAGGAACTAGAGCTATACACAAAGTGAAAGCCTGACTGATACTGCAGGAAGAGCAGAGTCTACCTAAAATGTAGGGCTTTCCTCCTCCAGGAAGCCCTCCTTGACCCCCCAGGCTGGGTCAGTGCTTGCTGTGAATATTTACAATGCCCTGTGCTACCTCATACATCTCATTAGAAAGGGACCATGTCCCATGTGTTCCACCAGAGGGTCCGAGCCTGGCTGGTCTCTGAGTCCCCAGCCTCACTGCACACAGAGCCTGGTGTACAGGTGTCCTCAGGAGAGAACTCAGGCATTACTGAATGAAACCATGCTCATGATGTCTTTCCCTGGAGAGTCTGCCAGTTCCCATGTGCCTGGGTGACACTTGGATTTTCTGCAGTGCCCATGGAGGGCCTTGCCTCCTCCAGGACGTCTTCCCTAAACTCCAAGGCACGTCCAGGTGCTTCTTCTAGGCTCCCACAGTGCCCTGCGCTGCCTCCATTGTTGAATATCATACCAAATCTTATTGTACCCAGGTCTCTCTCCTACCCCACCCTCCCAGACTAGGCAAGTCCTTAGTCTGACTCAGGTCAGGGTGTCAGAATTTTCCAGGGAGACCAGAGGAGAATATGTTGAATGAATTAATAAGTGAGTGAATGAAATAAAAACATAGGGACTGTGGCCCCCCGGGCACGATGGCTCATGCTTGTAATCCCAGCACTGCAACCTCCACCTCCTGAGTTCAAGCGATTCTCCTGCCTCAGCCTCCCGAGCAGCTGGGATTACAGACATGCGCCACCACGCCCGGCTGATTTTGTATTTTTAGTAGAGACAGGACTTCTCCATGTTGGTCAGGCTGGTCTTGAACTCCCAACCTCAGGTGATCCGCCAGCCTCGGCCTCCCAAGGTGCTAGAATTACAGGTGTTAGCCACCGCGCCAGGCCAACACACTAGTAATTTTTAATTTTTTTGTAGCGATAGAGGTCTTACTATGCTGGCTGGACTGGTCTTGAACTCCTGGCCTCAAGCAATCCTCCTGCCTCGGCCTCCCAAGGTGCTAGAATTACAGGTGTTAGCCACCGCGCCAGGCCAACACACTAGTAATTTTTAATTTTTTTGTAGCGATAGAGGTCTTACTATGCTGGCTGGACTGGTCTTGAACTCCTGGCCTCAAGCAATCCTCCCACCTTGGTCTCCCAAAGTGCTGGGATTACAGGTGAGAGCCACCATGCCCGGCCCCTGAGTGGCTGTGTTATATTCAGAGTGGACCCTGCCTCTCGCACGGCTCCCCTGTACCTCTGGACAGAGTCCCCCTCCTCAGCCTTTCTTGTCATGACCAGA